TGTGCACGTCCCTGGAGGCCAGGGCCCTGCAGAGCCGTCTGACATTGAATGCCAAATGCTACCATTTACAGGGATCCTCAGGGCTGTATTTGAACTGCAAGCTCTGTTCCAGCTGAGCTCTGTGCCGGTTGTAAAGTGAAGTGGTCAAATGTCAGAGAGCCAGAGGTCGTGATCCAAGGAAACTTGGAAATCATCTACTTCAATGAGCTTAGTTTACAGATACGAGAGGCAGCCAAGAGAGACTAAGAGGCTTGCCAGTTGTAGAGGCAGCGACTTGCAGTCTAAAGCCTTGCAAAGTACTGAGTACCCTAAACTTTAGTCAAGAGGTAGTGAAACCTCCTTTGGGGAGGATGTTATGCTGGTGATGAAGATGAAGGTGAAGATGATGCTGATGGTGGGACAGCAATTTTTCGGACACATAAACTAAGTTTTAGGCACTCACCAAAGTATTTTTCAAGTATCCCATTTTTTAATCTTCATAAAAAATCCCCCAATTAGGCATATAATTATAAATTTTATTTCAGATTTTGAAAATAAAAAGTATCTCAGAATCTCACACTTAGGGGGTCAGGGAAATAGCCCAGTAGAATAAGTGCTTCCCTGGCAAATGCAGGAGCCTGAATTCAATCTGCAGTCCCACAAAAAAAAAAAAAAAAAAAAAAGACAAAAAGAATCTCATATTTAGTAAATTACATCAACACAGGTAGTCTGACTTCAGAACTTGAACTCATACTCACATTTACACTCAACTTCAGGGGAGAGGCCAGCAGGTGGAAAGGAGTCTGATTCTGTCTCTACTGTATGCAGATTGATTTTATAATTTCCCATTACTAGAGATCCAAGTGAGAATTTGGCTTAGAATTTCATATCATTAGATTCTTTCCTGTATTTTACAGGGTTTCAAGTCATGTAGAGGTGGGGAGTCAGGAAAAATCAAAGTACAAACAGGCTGACCCACATTATTAGAATAAATGTGAAATAATTACTTTTAAGGAAAACTATAATTTCTATATATAGAGAGAATACTTCTCAAAAAAATCTTTCCAAAAGAAAAAACACATTTTACATGTTCTCTAAATGGACAAATCATTATAACAGTAAACACTAAGTGAAACATACTATATCAAACAATAGTGCATAATTTTGTTTTATGCCAACAAAATGAAGAAATAAATGACTACCATTTTTCTAGTAATGAGATGTGTTTGATCAATTGATGTTGATAACATAGCTTAAAAGATGTCTAGTTTATTATTATTGAATATCAGTACCTCAATAATCTCCTAATTCTTATACTTTTAACTATGTACAATATGGAGTTATGCCTTTCCTCCAATGCTTACTGTAAGTTTGGGAATATTATGGCCCAAGTCAAAACCAAGAAATTGTAAGTTTATAGATGTGTGCTTCGCTAGGATTTTGAAAAAAGATTTTAAATCTGTATCTGTGGCGATATAATGTGTTTTTATGTTTCAGAGCATAGGCCACAAATTTTACACACATTAATTATATCAAAGCCATACTCTTAGACAGATATTATCTCCATTTTAAAGATGAAGAAAGTAACATTTAGAAATGTTAAATCATCCAGGAATGTCACACAATGAGGTGTTAGCAAGGCTGGGATTCCATTTTTCAATTTAAATTTACATTTTTTCAAATTTTATTTTTTTTTCTTTTTTTTCAGTACCAGGGATTGAACTGAAGACCTGGCACTTGCCAGGTAGGTGCTTATGCCACTGAGCCATCACCTTGGCTTTAGTTTGACTTTAAGCTTCATTGTCTGAACTACTCCAAAGCATTGATAATAAATACATCCTCTCAAATGTAAAAAAAAAAAGTTTGTATTTATGGCAATGATTGCTATTAAATAAGGAAAAGAAGCTTATTACTTCTAGAAGCAGATCTCTGTGGTGGTCAGGAAGCGGAATTCTGGAGTCAGGACTCGGAGTTCACACTTCATCAGTGTCATTTAATTATCTACTTATCATGATCTTATCCAACTCTCATATTGTGCAGTCTCAAATTTTCAAAGGAATCCTCAAGGGTATGTCCATTTCATCTGACACACTACTGGTAAATTATCAAAACTATTACAATCTGCTGAACAAACTCAGGAAAACAGAAATTTTATTTAAGAGAAAATCATACATATGAAACGTTGTGTTACATACACACAGTGAATGATGATTATAAGTTTTCCAAGTATAAAACATGGTATAGTTTTCAAATCAGTACAGCTACTAACTCTAGTATATATGATATATAACTGTCCAAAGATTTTATATCTGGAAAGCACTATCAATTTTTAGTTATTTGAAAGGGAACCTGTGGAACAAATCAGTTTGATTTTCTAAAATTGGAATTTTTGTATAAAATACTGAAATTTAAAGGAAAGGTAAAAGAGAATAGGCATAGAGACATAGGGCTAAAAACAAGTTGTAGGCCATCTCTGTCTCTGTCTTTGCCTGCCTGTCTCTGTCTCTCTCTCTCTCTCTCTCTCTCTCTCTCTCTCTCTCTCTCTCTCTCTCTCTCCCCCAGGAATTGAACTCAGGGCCTCATAACTACCAAGCAGGTGCTGTGTCACTGAGCTACATCACAGATTCTACGGCAGTTTTTTTTTATTTCATGTTTTGTTTTTGTTTGTTTGTTTTTTATAGTATTTGGTGCAGCGTCTTACTGCATAGCTCAGATTCATAGTGATCCTCCTGGTTTCAGCCTCCCTAATGCTGAGATTATAGCCTAATGCCACCACACCCAGACTAGGTGGCAGACTCAGAATGCCTGGGGACTGGACTGGTATGGCATGTGGTGCCAGGAATCGAACCCTGGTCCCTGAGCTTGCCTGAGCAGGTGCTTAGTCCTCTGAGTTATCTCACTGGCCCTCTATAGCAGTTCTTGAACTACTTTTTAAATATCTTTATTCATGCTGTTGTGGTTACCTTGCTGTCCTGAATTTATTTAAAATGTTTACTTTCCCTGTTCATTTTGATTTTGAGGAAAAGCCAGACTTGGTGAATGAGCTGAATAAAGACATAATATAATTATTTTTACATACCTGCCTGCCCATATTCACTGTATCTTTTACTGCACCTTGTAAAGACAATCACAGAGGCCTAGCAAGAGCAGGAGTATACGTGTGCTCAACACTGGGGGCAGTGTTTAGAGGAAGATTCATGGCAATGGGCTTTTCATTGTAAAAATATTCTAAGAGTTTGAACATCACCCTGCACTTTGATCAGTGCTTGCACTTTGTAGCCTATAAGAGATGGCTGCTGAAAAGAATGGCATAGATGCAAAAGAAACTTGTGGCACCACAGAGTTCACAAGAAAACCCACATGCAGAAAAGGATTCAGTCTAGAGGGAGCGCCATCAACTTAAATTTTAGCATCAGAGCAATATATGTCACTTTTTTCATAAACTACATCCTCTAAGACTTTCCTAGCAATAGATTCTAGAAAGGCCTTTTTTTAGCCATGAAAGTCTTCATTAATTGGAATCAATTTCCGTGACAATAAACCACTAAAAAAAAATATATCTGTTGATTTCCCACTGTGGGTTAGTTTCTGGTATTCTGCCTGTCATCTCAATCAGAAATAGTAGTAAATGTGTCTGGTAGCTTCAGTCTCTCTTGCAGACGATGCTACTTTACACAGGGACACCAAATGTTGAATCAGTGACATCACCCGGTATCCTATACAGCCCTCTACACATTCAGTAATCAGAGGAAAGAGAGATTGTGGAACCAATAACAAGTTTATACCAAAAAGATAAACTTTCTTATTTCATTCCTTTGCCGACATATAGCGAACCTGCTATTTCTTCCAATTCTGACATGGGGAAAATATAACTGCAAATATATTCCATCTGATAAAGATCAGAAGAACTCAGCCAAAGAAAAACAAAAGTTCAGTGAATTTTGTTCTCAATTTTCATAAGGTAATACAGCCTCAATACGATGGCATATTGAGATATATTTGTTTCATTTCTGTAGCTATCACATAAGAAAGAAAATAAATTCTTCTATCTGATTATGGCTTTAAAAATAAAAACTCCCTAAACTATTTTTTATAGAAATGCTTTTACTTCAATTTTTAAATGGATGCATAATTTGAAATAGAAGCAAAACTGACTGACAATTTAGGAGTAAATGACATTCTGGTACTATAGACACTCCTGCATCTGGAATATGATGCAAAGCTAAATATGACAGTTATTTTATTCAGATGGTGTGTATACATACATTAAAAACTCTGAAAATCCTATTTATATTTACTGATAACCGAGATAGTCTGCCTGCTTGAAAAGGATGGCAGGATCCCAAATGTATTTGTCATACGTTTTGTAGAATGCATGGTACTGGGGCTACTTGTTTTCCTCACATGTTACTTGGGAAGAAATCTCAAGTCATTGTTTGTTGATATGAAGTTTGGAAGTCTGAATATAGAGTCTTAGCCATCTTAAAGTGCACTTATTGAGCTGGTCCAGTCTTCAGAGCCCAGGCCTGGTGAGTCCGGATGGACATTAATCCATCTACACCTTCTCCTCCATCTCCATCTCTGTCACCACCATAGCAATGACAAGAGTCACCCAGAGGTGAGCGCTGCCAAGGCTTCACCACACTCTCATCTTCTACTTTCACTAATAAAGATTTAAGTGCTCAAGTGATGAAGTTTCTGTGATTCCAAGTAAAGCTACTGCACCAAGTTAGGTTTAGCAGACTTTCCCACGGAGTCAAGAGAATGGTTGCATTTAAGGAACATAAAAAGACAAGAAAGGTTCCTATCAATGTAACAATGATTTATTAGAAATTCGTCAGTCTTGGGGCCTATAAACACATTGCAAATTCTGACAAATACAAGGAAAAATTCCTATCAAGGATCTGGATTTGCTATTACTACAAGCACTAAAGAAATTATCTGTCAACCTAAGAGCTCAAAATTTAAGACAGAAAATTCTAGAATACTCAATTGAAACTGTCTGCAGGTAGTCTACTTACCCCTGCAAGGCTTTCTCTCCAAACCAGTCTCCTTTTCCTAAGGTTCTCAGAAAGATTGGGTCTTCACTCGGTGACTCTTCACGGGTGACGTTTACCTACAAAGAGAAACCATGAAAGCTAAATCCATACACAAAGTTAGAACACTAACTGATTAGGTGAATTAAATTTACTTCATTTTTAACTTTTGTTTTAATTGCTTCTATCATTTTTCTTGTAAGGATCATCTTTCTACACACTTGTGAATGCACATGCTAGCTTTTCTAGGATATTCCAATCTCTGTACCTAAGAAGAATAGATTGTTTATTCAAAGGCCCAACACGTTTTCATGTTCTGTTTGACTGTAGTTCTTATGATCCACATCCTTCAACTGACAAGATGTCTTATTTTTTAAAATAAGTAAATATATACATTTTCTTTTTTCCCCATAGTAAACAGTATGCCCTTCAAAGAAATAACTATTTTTTTGGCATTCCGTATAATTTATAATAAGCATTCACTAAATTGGAGTAGTAAATTGTTTTAACAGGAAGTTTCATTGCTAACAACATATTCTGGCATCCATAGGATTTGTAGTATGCGTCATATTCCCAGAAGATAACTGACAATATTTTCTTGTTGCATAAATGAAAACATAAACAGAGCTAAGTTGTACCTTTGTATTAATTCACTTCTGGCTCAAACTCTACTAATATTCATAATGCTATCTATGTATCAATTAGAAAGGCTAAATAATTAAAATTCACCAACCTAGAAAATGTAATGAAGCACAAAACTAATTTTTTGAGGCAATGCCAGACACTCAAGCATATTTAAAATTACTGTGTTTCAGGTTTTTCAATGTAGAGATTGGTTGTCAATGACCAGAATTTTTGTAAGTATAAAGGAAGTCTGTGAAAGGTGGAAGGAATTTAATTCCTCTTCTTCACTGATCCATTTGATTACCCCTCTACACAATGTTTCAAACCATGGAAATTCATTCTTAACCCTATTAGCTACCACTCAGCTAAACCAAAGAGATGCTAATTTGCATGTTGATGGGGCGGTTACAGATGTGGAAAGTTCAGTAGGGAGTCTTATTTAAAATTAAAGTTGCTCGGCCCCTATTCCTGGGATTCTTATTCATTCATTAATGAGTAGCTAGTGCTCATTTCTTCTGTTTGTATAGTATCCTAATATATACATTTTTAAAACTTGATTCTTCTGGATATGTACATGAATGCTGCTTCCAGTTTTACTTTTAGTCTGTTTTGTGGTGTTCTTAACAATGCTCTAATGGATGTTCTTGAACTTGTCTTCTTGTGTCTACAGAGAAGGGTTTCACTAGCGTCCAGTGAAGAACTTACAAACAAAGAACAAGTTTATTAATTCTATGTATTTTCAATTTTACTAAGTAGTGACTCACTTATGATACAAACATATGTTTATATCATCAGTGAATTAAAGTTTATATCATACTACATGATTGTAATGGTTAATGCAGTGTGTCAAATGGAGAAGTTTACAAGATTAATTAAGGTCCCTCAGTGGGGAGCCAGGGTCCTCACTTTGTAAACTCCCTCTTCCTGTGCAAGAAGAGAGCACAGAGATGGGGTGAGTGCTACACTTGCCCCATGGGGTGGTACCCTGATACAACGCAAGCAGGGAAGAGAGGCTTGCTCATCCCTTGGTTCTGGCTGCTCTTGTCCTCTGCACCCTTGAACTGCTGCTTTCAGCCATGTGCCACCCTGCTTTGGAACCAGCTGATTATGGGCTGAAACCTCCACAAATGAGAGCTAAGTCAACCTTTGCCTCTTTAACTTTGAATGTCTGGTACTTTGTCTCAGCAGTGAGAGAAAAGCATCTAGGGCAATAATCAACCTAAGTTGGTGCTGTAAGCCATCGATCATTTCTCAGGAAGGTAAGTGCTAAATGACATTTTAATGTTATAATTCTTCCAACCTATTAATATAACTCTGCTGTTTCTTCTCAGATATTTTGATGTGCTGGTCTTCTGGTTTTTTTTTTTTTTTTTTTTTTTCATTTTTGGGTCTCAGACAAAAATCCCTTACAAATGTGCTTGAATATTTTTAATCCATCACATTCTTGGTTCTCTAAATGGCATTGAGACTTGGCTTTCAATGATACAGACACTTGGTAATCTAAATGCTAGTTAAACAACATCGTTAATAATTGAATATAGAAATAAATATGAAGTTTTTAAGTATCATATATTAAAACTGGATGATTTTTCTTGTTGTGGTACGTATTTCTAAGGTTTAAGCACACAGAGACGCATGCAACTGCTAGCAGAATTAGCTGCAGAATAATTCTACCGCTTCAACTAACTCCTTCGTGCTACATGTTTATAGCCACACCACTTCCTGACCTAACCCTTAACAACTGCAGGTCTGTTCCACATTATGTGGGTTCTATCTATTTGAGACTACCAGGTAAATTAAATAGCATTAAACTTAATTTTTGAGGCTATTTTCTCTTCCTCTGCATAATATCTTTGAGATTCATGTAAATGGATGTGTGGTCCTGAAATTAATTTTTATTATCTCTGAATAATATTCCATTGAATGAATATATTGGTTTTCTTATCCAATGGATCCACTCACTGAGGAAAATTTAGTTGCTGGCAACTATTAATGAAGACGCTAGAAATATTGATGCAAAACTTTTATGTGGATTACATTTCCATTTTTTCTAGAATAAGCACCACAAAGTATGATTCCTGAGCTACATAGTGAATGCTTAACTTTATAAGAAATTGCCATCTTGTTCTTCACACTGTTCCCCATTTTGCATGCCCACTTGCAGGACATGACAGTCACATCTGCTCCACCTCTTCACTGATGCTGCGTACAATCAATTTCTTTCTTTCTCATCAGCCATTCTATTAAGGGTACAGTAGGTCCTGAGATAATCTACACTTTCTTAATGACTTGTGAAATTCAGAATTTTTCATATGCATTTACTATTCTTGCATCTTCTCTGCTGATGTATCTATCAAATTCATTGGCCTTTTTTTTTTTTTTTTTGCGGAACCGGGGATTGAACTCAGGCCCTTGCGCTTGCCAGGGAAGTGCTTATTCCACTGAGCCATCTCCCCGGCCCTTCATTGGCCATTTTTAAAAATTATTATATATTTCTCACTTAGGCTCCAGACCAGTCCCACCAGATACGCACTCTGAAACTATCTCCCTGATAGTAATGTATCTTTTTATTCTCTTATCACTGTCTTTCATAGAATAAAATTTTATAGATCTAATAAAACTAAATTTATCCTGTTTTATTTTATGGATTGAACTTTGGGTACCAGGCCTAGGAAATATTTGTATCACCCCAAATTATATTTTTTCTAAGCATTTCTTACTGCATACTCTACTTTTTAAATCTATTAGCAATTTTGAAAATTGTTATATGAAATATGAAAGTTAACTCATTCACTTTTTTCCTCCTCATATCCTTTGCTGTGAAAAGAACTTCCTTTTCTCACTGATTACTTCCATTCACTGATTGCTTTTTGTTTCTTCATTAATGTATTAACTGTAGGCACATTATAGATGCCATCTTAAATTTTTATTATACACGGATATTTTACACCTATCAAATCTGTTCTCTTTCTTGGATGACATAACAATGTGACTTTGCTACTTTAGATTATTAATATGATGGATTATATTGAATGGTTTGGCTTTTTCGATATTTAAATTATAGTGTAGTACTTACATCTTCAATGTCTCATGCAGTTACTACGGCCTACACGCAGCTATCCACTTATTACAGTATAGATACTGCTGCTGAGAACTTGATTATTTAGTTTAAATTACTTTTTTTTGTTTTGTTTTTGTTTTTTCAGTACCTGGGATTGAACTCAGTATTTAGTTTAAATTAGTTAATTTTTATTTAGACTCCAAACGAAACTATTTGACACTAAATTAGAGTGTATGCACACCACACATTTCCAAAAACTCAGAAAGACAGCATGAATAATTATGATCTAGCTAAATAGTTACTAATTTTAATAATGTATCTTTCTGATAGAAATTCTATCAGCTTTAACTGTTTCTTCATCACCAAATATTCTTGACTTACTGTCCTAGTTGGGGTGACTGGTACGACCCTAAATGAGAATTGGTGATAACGTGCACATTTGTATTAGGAGTGCACTTGATCTAAAGGACATATTTTTCACGCTTCATCATGACATGTGTAGGTGTTGGTGCAATGTCACTACAAGGTCTTTGGTATTCTTTGGTGCTCCCCAGCCCAGTCTTCCTTGCACTCACTTGGGAAAAAGAATATCATGCTTCTAGGCAAGTGCAATGTACTGAATAAAGCAAAGAGAACTCATTCAGGCTTACTGGAGGCAGAAGCAGGTATTTTATACATCACCACTAGGGGCATCTTACTTACAGTTTAGAAAAAAATCTCTGTACACAATTCATAGAGAAACACAGGATTTCAAGGTTTAATTCATAATATTATGCTTAATGAGATAAGAAAAATTTATTTTACATAAGAAAACATAATATGCAGCTACTTTGTCTTAATTCAATGAGAACAAAGATTTGTACTAATAGTGTTTGCATCTTATACTATGAATAACTGCTACAAAGACAATATGCAATGTATTAATTATTGTAACTGTCCTACTAACCTGTTTTGAAACTGTCTCATACAAGCTTTTCTCAATAAAATTAATAAAAAATAAAATAAAGTAAATACATAAGACTAAACAGGATGAAATCCAATTTGTGGCCTACATCCTCCATATTGTGTTTCCTTCTATCTAACAGAATTTTCTAAGAAAAAGTCTATTCAGTGGTATTGAGGAAAATATCTTCCCCAGAGTGAACTTTTGTAAATTTTAGAAATGCATAAGAAAACAATTTTACATCAGCAAAAGTAAAACAAAACACAATTTCATAAGATTAACATTTCACAATTTGTTTTCCTGTTAACTTTAGCCAATTCTTATTATCCATCTGTTTTCCTTAATCTACACCCAGGTATTCTCATTGTCCACTGCTTATAGCAATAAAATTATTATATTAATTGACATCATTAGGAATAACAGTTAACTATGGAAAGAAAAACCTTGAATGC